GCTGACACAGAACCTGACACTTCATGAAGAAGGAAAATCCCCCAAAATATTAAGCTTCTGAACACCTACTGCATAACCATGTGTAAATGAAAGGACAAAAGCTGGAAGCCGAAATTCCTTTAACAGTCAACTGAGAGATATGTAAATTTCAAAGCACATACTTTGGTGCTATAAAATTACTTAAATTACCTAAGGAAGAAAGTGTGAACCTCCTCTTGAGTGCAAGCTACAAAATTTCTAGATGCAGCAGAAGTTACTTAAATTTGATTTAATGTTTTTAAAATAATTTTCATAAATATTTCAGCTTTGGCAGTGGTTATGTTCAATGACACACTTATCTGCACTGTGGTTCTTTTTATGTAAACTCCTCTTGACAGTCATGTACCATTAGCTTTTTCAGTAAAATAACATTTACTGTACTGTTTGGAGAAAAACATATCATAAACCTGTCCAGTCTGACAAAAATGTCAAATAAGGTCACATTTCAGCTAGTGCTTGAATTTTCAAAGTTTCTCATTTGAAGAAGCTTACATTTTAAGTTTGTCAGAATAAGATCAATATTAAGGAAGAATTGTGTGAAAAAAACATTTTTCAGTGCTGGAAGCTGTTATATAAATTTAACTTCCTGAGTTTTGGTTTGGTTTTGGTTTGGTTTTTTTTTCTGCTTTTAAGCTGATACCGTATCCAAGTCTGTAGAAAAAATTTCAAGGCAATAGATAGCTTAATTTCAGTCTCAGGATCAGGGTTCTCATTCCACATCATAAATACTGAAACATAAACCTGAACTACATAAGCAGAATGCTGACTAAGCGAGGAAAACTGCAGGTGAAATTTGATTTAGCAGCTCAGTAGCCATAATGTGTGTGTTTTCTATAAGTAATGTCATTTGCACAACCTAACACTTTTTTTGGTAATTCCAGAGGAAAAATTTCTGATATTATCCTTACTTTTCTCTAATTGAAAAGGTATAATTCGATAAAGAAAGAATTCATAAATTATGAACGGACAAAGACAAAATAGCTACATGTTCTAGACATTTTGTTGTTAGAAATTATTGGCTTGCCTGTTGTGCAATATCACCTTGGGACATAGAAATCCTTCTCGGTGCGCAGTACAGCAAAGTCTACTGTCTGTTATGCTTGCCGACAGCCCTTCCACACCACCTCAAATGATGCCTCACTGCTCCTGGGAAGCATCTACAGGCCAAGATGAAGAAGGAAAAATTAGATCAAGTATCTTCCCAGCACTTTTCACCCTCTTCAGTTCCTGCCATCTGCTGTATTTTACTAAACCTTCACAGATTTCACATATTTCTATCATTAAATCTAAAAAGGAAAGTAATGGAGGGCAAAGTTTGTGTCTGTAGCTTGCCCCAATCTCTGATTAGATTGTTCTTTTTTTTCTGATAGATGTGTGGGTACATGATAAATAAATTGTGGGATTTTTAAACAATACATACACTTTTTAAAAAAAGCGTTTTAGACACATTTCTTCATCTTCTACAGACTAAAGAGGAAGTGACATTTACTGAAAGGAAATTCTAAAAACAAAGTCTGCAATACTGAATGTCTGCTTTCAAAGGCCAGAATGTTCTTATGGTTATCTGAAATATCTATAAACAATCCTGCAGAATACACTTGAAAAATTTTAAAAACAATAAAATTAAATCCCTTTTCAGTTATTAGGCTACCAATAACAAAAAAAGAATTAGTTAAATTGTAGCACTCCTACTGAATTAATTTACTCTTCTTAGTTCATAGCAAATTTTTAATATAATTTTAACATAAGTAATCATTGTCTAGTATATAGAAATAACAATGATCATTACTTTCAGATGCCCCGTTCATTTTAAAAACTCCAAATACATTAGCTAGACATAAATTATTCATGCAATTCATTAATCTGAATGTCATTTCTTGCATGACAAGTTATGAAGAATGGGAATTGCCTAGGTGCTATTTTTCTCCTTGACTCAGTACTATTCCTTTGAAAATCCAGGGTAATTCTATGCTTGACAATATTTTTCAGAGCCACCCTTTTCATTAATTAAATAAATGTTTCACAAAGACAAGTCTAATGAGAGATTGTATCTTGTGAGACAAGTTAAAAGAATAGCCCAGTCATTTCTGTAATCATGGCTCTTCTCTAATTATATTTATATACGCTATATATAGTGCCATTGTCAGACATCAAATATTACAGAAGTAAAAGGTTCACTCATAGGATCATCAGAGTAATTATAATGTTTTCATTTATCAAAAACCCTCCAAAATGATGAGGACAGTGATACACTGCTGCTTCTTGACAATTAAAAGCTTTTGACAGAATGACAAAATAGTATCCTGAGAACCCGCACAGAGGCTTAGAAGAAAACAGTTCAGCAGCTTACTGGAAACATAAGGACACTTCAATGACTGTCTCAAAGATCAAAGGTGAAGACAGTTACAAACGATCTTTTAAAACTTAATTCAAAATAAGTTTACATAACGATGTTTCATATTTTATAGATTCCGAGTCTGAAATGCTTGAAGACAAATGAACAGTGGGATGATATTACCCTGCAAGTTCATCAGTAGTCACAGCATTTTAGGAAACCACCCTTGTGTTCTTGTTAACCATTTTGTGAAGCAAATTAACAATATTTAGCCATGACATTTTTCTCTATAACAGTTTTCATACCTCAGAGTTGATTTGGTAAAATTTAAAAATGAACATTTGACAGATACATCTGTCTCCAGGGATGAAAGAATTCGAAAAATCATGCAAATATGAAAATACAAGTTTAGTCAGAGGCTGAGATCCCCAAAGTGGTCTGCCTGAAGAAGTAATCATGCAAATAAGATCATTCACTACAAAATACCAGCAAGATGACAGTAGAAAGGAAGGTGTCAGTGTTTTGTTTTCAAATCATGATATTTATTGCTAAAAGATTCCCCCTCCCCAAGACAATGATAGCTATATAATAGAGCATTTGTTTGTTTGGACATGTAGATTAGAGGCTGGTATCACAGTGCAGGATGTGATGACTGATCTCTTGGTTCTGACTGACAGACTATGGTAAAGGTGACTCTAAAGTGAATATATAGACAAGTAGCTTGTATCTGGTGAAACAGGGAAGAAAAAGCAGATTAAAGAAGGTACAATATAATGGAAGTAATTTGTGAGGCAAATTACTTTTCACAGTGGTGTTCTGGATAACTAAATATTTCAGGCCAAAGAAAGTAGATTGCAGCAACCAGATGCCAAGGGAAGAGAGTGGAAAAGAGCCTTTCTGACTGCATGGATAAAGAAAGCTTATTTTACATGGTTTTGTTCACAATAATCCTTAAAACCTAGATATGAAATTCTAGATACATGTTCTGAGCAAAGAAGTGATGCACAGGAGACAAATAAAAGAGCTGTAGTCTTTGAGAAAGGAGATAGCAAAAGGGAAAACATGTATGTTTGCCTAAAGAGGATATGGATTCATCTGTGAGTACAAGTCAGAAAAGCATGTCATGATTTTACATTGAGCAGGTGGAATCATGTTTCACTGTCGTTCTAGAGGTGGGTTGAAACATTTGTGCTTGCAAATACGAACCTCCAGAAATATGGCATGAAGCTAGAAAAATAAAATAGCAAAAGTCTGGGGAAATATGAAAAAGATGATAAGGAAATAAGTGACAGCCAGATTAAAAGTCAAGAGAAGATGACAGTGACAAATAGCATGATAAATTTTTATTACAAGGAAACACAGAAGTAAATAGATGTTTTGCTCTGTCACATTCCTATACTAATCAGCTAGGATGCTTATTTATGCTGACTATAAGAAAAGTTGCCTCCTATCAACTGGCTTATTTTTTTCATGCTCTTTTAAAATATTACTGACATTAATTCCAAGCCAGATGATCTAATTTCTACAAAAATCTAATCACAGGCTTTGACTTGAAGTTCTTTTGTGATGTCAAGCATTTTATGCTGTTGTTTTATAGTAAATAGCAATGAAAAATATATCATCAGTCCCTGTGTGTACACTGGCAGTGTTAGAATTTATTCTGGTAAATGTATGTCTAAGCTACTTGTACCTGTACAAGATGAGTAGACTTGGTCATGATAAATACACAAAATCCTTCAAACTAATTATTTCAAAACATTTCAGTAATCATAAACATTTATAAGAAATAACTATTTGTTTTGCCAATTATCAGGCCTAGCATAAAGGACACAGCCAGCATAAAGATGAACCAATAACCAAATTGTATTTGATACAAAAGGGTCAGTACCTGGGTACAAACAAGTCAGTCAGATTATACATAACTGACATCAATCCCACGGACCCCAACAACGACAGCACACAACCAACAGTGGGTGGAATAAATGGTGAAATGCAGTCTCCCATAGAAGGGATGGGAGACAAGAGAGTCAACAACCCAAACACATAAGACCAAGGCAGCCACGTACTGAATCTCTACACAGCCCGTGTTTACAAAGCCAGAGCTGACTGGAGCCCAGTCCCAGGGAGGCAGGAGGTCCTTCCCCAGCAGGGAACTCTGCACAGGGCATCCCCCTCACAGACAGACACTGCCCCTGCCTGCAAGGGGTCCCAGCTTTTATCCCTCAGGGGGACACCTGACCTTTGTTCACTTAAAGCGGGACCCCTGGGGCTCCTTTACCCAATGGCTCTGTCTGCCAGGCCGGCACCACCCTGGGGGAAGCCTGAAGGCAAACTCACCCCCCTTGGTGAAGGGCTGTGGGAATCACCCATGTGTCAGCCTTAATTTGGGGCTGGGGGTTGAAACCCCAGCATTTCACCATCTGATTATTCCATTGAGTGTTTGTCTTCAAGTATAGGAGAAGGGCCATTCACTGCAAATGAAACAGTAAGTAAACTTGCAGTGCTAGGCCAGGCTGTCAAGAAAAAAGCTGAATCTGTTCACCCAAATGGATATTCAGAGAAGGTATTAGCATTTACTCATATTTTGTGATTCCACATTCCTGAAAAAACTGCAAACCCATCCCATATGACTACCTCAACATTCAGTAAAAAGGTTTCCAGAATACCGCAAAGCCGCAGCTCATGCCAGGAGAGCACTGCTGAGCTCAGACAGCTGGCACATCCCGAGGCCAAGACAAGGTGACCGGGTCCCTGGGCAGAGCAGGGCAAGGGCCTCCCCGTGAGCCAGCTGTGGGCAGAGGTTCCATGCTGGGTGTTGGGGTCACTTGCTGGGGCAACCCTTCAGCTGCCCCTTGGCTCACCCACAGACCTGCAAGGTCTTCAGCTCAGGGGAGGATGGGCTTGGCAGGGAAGAGTCACACTTGCTGCTTGGCAGGTGCCTGACCCAGGTGAGGACATCCACCCTCTGCCCGGATTTTCTCCAGAGCCCAGAGATCCTCAGGAGCCGACGGCAGTCACATCTGGGCACCGTTCAGCCAAGGCTCTGCTGCTGGAAATCTGCCCCCCAGCTCAGCTGCCCGAGCACACTGCCCTCCTCCCCCAGACATTTCCTTCTCAACGCAAACGCTGCCCTTGAATAAAATGTCTTCTGCAGGGCTTGGGGGGC